CCTTTCTTATATCACATTTCTGTTGTGGGTTTATTGACGTATCAAAGTTATATTTTATTTAGCAATAAACTATATTACTTATTTTCCGTTTATAAGTAGGTTTAGGAGACTAGCCTTTGATGTGATATAAGAGCTGTATTCAACTTATTTTGAAATGTCATTCTGCCCAGTGATCCAAGGGCATTCATAGCAATTTGATGTAGTAGTTAACGCCCTGTGACTCTTACCTGCACTATCCGGGTTCGAGTTCTCTGGGCGTGCTGATGAGACCAGGATGAGGTCGGAACTGCCGTCCACCCCTTCATGTTTGATAATACCTCTTGGTGAGTATGGATATGTGAAATTAAACGGAAACGTAAGGCCTAATCATATCATAGTGTGAAAATTCAACCACCAGTCCTTCATCGCCTTAAACGAAATAGGCTGAATACAGCTTTTACATCAATTCTATTGTTAGTCTCGGAAACCTTCTTGTAAACGAGGGACATTTATATGAAGGTATCTATCATAGTAGCACCTGAGAGCCCAGTGGGGATTTATTGGCGATAGAGGGTAGTCTGAAAGACTCTTAGGGTAACGGGTGTGAAGTGACCTGTAACCATGCCCAGCAGATCTATCCTCATCTTGATATGTTCGCCACATCTTTCAGCCCGATTTTCTCAACAGAGGGTTATTGGTATCGTAAAGAGACACTCGTCTTGTATCTGGATCATTCCATATGGTGGTTAAGTATGATGCTCATCTTCTATTCTATGATGGACTTGTTTCCCAAATTGTATTTTCATCCAGGCAGAAGTGGATTATAATTTCTACCCTGACTCGGTTTCATCAGCTTTGCCAGCGGGACTCGAACTGTGATAATACAGCGCATAATCTCGACACATTTATCACTAAGCTATACTACTTGAGTGCCTTTAAGTAGTACCCTCACTAACGCTATAGTGTAAATGGGCCAGAGAGTAACTAATTTTCAATTGTTTAAGGACAGTACTGTGATTTGGCTCTATTAAAATCTGAGGCATTATGGGCTCGGCGCTTAGCCTCAGGTCTGATCGAGCTAGTTTGACCTAGATTTCGCTCTGCTGTGAGTAAATCTTAAACCTTCAATGTTACCTTCTTTTCGAGCGCAGAACTATCTTAAAGAGAATGAGCTGCCCGGTATTGTGCAAGCCGACATTGACACCCTCCAGAGTCTGGTTGCTGAGCACGATAGCATTGCCTGCGGCCTGACCGCCGAATTGATTGGGGACACGGTCTTAAATCCAATAAAATCCCGGACCGATGTCGATTCTGAGGGTGGAGTTCGCTTCTCTGCTCAATTGTCCATCTCGGTGGCTTCAGGCGGCGGAGCTCAGGTCTTGATGGACGCCGCGGAGACGGAGCGAATCGAGGCGCGTATGATACTGACCTCATTAACGACGCGTTGGAAGGACGCCTGGTCCGAGATAGCCGCCTGGCGCGATGGTATGGACACACTGCTGAACAAGTGGCAGCACTACAATATGGTAGGGTTGGCTCTCCGTAAATGTCGCTTTTAATTAAATTAGTAAGACCCAGCAACAAAGCTATTTTTCTCCTGACTTATTATTTTCTCCAACCTCTTCGTGTCGTTTAAACTTCTAGCAGATAACTGCAGAATCATTTCTTGCGTTACATTTGCATCGTTTTGTTTTATTACTTTCCTCGTATCTGCATTCTCAATTACAGGAGATGGGAAAGTTAGAGTCATGGATAGAAGAGACTCGAACTCAATTGGCTAACGAAAACCTGCCATCCGAAGATCGTATTCGGCTATATGCAGAAATGAAGCACTGGCGTGAGCTCCTCACCGACTTGGCACACGTTGCTGAAGACATCATGGGAATGGCTGACAAAGAGATTGCCGTGGATTTGGAGAAACAGATTGCGCAGATGAATCAAGTTTACAGAAACGTCAGTGAAGAGGTGAGTCTCTTGATTGCTGTCTGGCCATGATTGTCATTGCATTCATTCCCGCAAACTTGTAATCTGTATTTTGTATGAAGGAAGATTTTTTTGAAAATTTCTAAATGTTTAATTGTTTTAACAATTTTTATTATATGCATTGTCATGGGTTGATAAATGTTTTAATGAAAAATTATGTAAGAATGCTACTACCTTTGCTTTTGTCCCTGCTTTGTCCGGATTATTTGTATTATATTTTGGTTTTAAGTTCGGTTTATAAGATTCCTTCGTTTTTTATGTTTATCAAGTAAGCTATTTTGCGAGTTATTTTGTTATTGACTGCTCGCAATTAAGCTAGGCGAAAGCTTAAATGTGACTTCTTCATGAAATTAAAGAGTTTGTTTTCTTCTCACACAGTGAGCTACATTTTCTACTTCTCTTTATCCTCTCGCCAGGATTTTTATCGGGATTTGAGGCATGAAATTGCGAGGTAAAGGGCAAATGCGATAAAAAACAAGTCTATTTTGAGATCCGAAATCTGCTAATAGAAGAATCATATTGAGTCGTGGACTTTTTGTGACAGAAACTCAGACCTAAATCATGCCTGATGACGACTTCTTAGAGGTTAACTTACTGTTATTTGTCAAACATTTCACTCGATTGCTAGTCATTTTAAGGTAGAATAGCTGGATTATGCCTAACCTACTGAATTAAATCGGATTTTTGCAAACAATATTAAATGCTCATGAATAAAGATCTACGTTTGACTGATTAGACTTCCTGAAAGCTGTTGCTGATTTTTTAATGATGAAATTAACAAAAAAGTAGGTTTCAGCCAATAAATTGTTTTGTCATGTAGCTCTAAAATGAGATTTTATCCAGAATATTATTCAGTGGTAGCCTAATTTAGATTTCTTCAACAAATCTAGAATCAATAAAGCTACGTGACACATTGATATTAGCATGGGTCTACATGATTTGTAAAACTATAAGTATATCGGGCTTGGCAACTCAGAATAGGTAGTTTCGAGACTACCAGTACAGTACTACCAATACATCTCATATAACTGATTTACTGGTAGTCTCAAAACTCTGCTTATACGGAAAATAAGTAATGTAGTCGATTGTTATAGCAAAAATATTTTTGCTTCATCGGCAATCCCACCAAAGAATGCGATATGGGAAAAGATATGGCCTTCCTTAAAATTCACATCTACCCTGTGACCCAAGGGCACTCGTGGCAATGTGGCCGAGTGGTCAGCGTATCAAGCTCACATGCTGCACTGTCATGGTTCGACTCCTGCCGGCGGTGTTGATAAGACCAATGTGAGGTTGAAGCTGCAGTCCATCCTGAATGAGAACAACTTTTGGGAAAGCAAGGCAATATGAAATTCAATGGAAACGTCAGTTCTTCTCATATCTTTGTGGGAAAATTCTATTAGCAGTCCTTCATCACCTTAAACGAAATATTACTGAGTTACTGGTAGTTTGAAACTCTACTTACATACGAAAAATAAGCTAGAACTTGGCCTTACAAGATATTTACGTCTACATTAAGTCACGAAGATTTTTAGGCTATAACTTAAACTTCTTTACACTAGCAGGTAAAAATTATTGAAAAAAATGTAAAAAAATAGATAAACATTGCATTATTTGGTTGGCTTATTTCTATTTAGATTCTAAGATAGATCTCACAGCAGATTCCTCTTGATCAGCTGTCTATTCGCTTTATTGCAACATTCTTGTTAACGCTATTTTCGG